TAGTTTTCCTTGATTTGTAGTACCTTCGTGCATTGGAAAGATGTTATTTGCCTGCCCATCTACATGGTAAATATTTTCTCATAGTAGGTCATTTGTAATTTTATTCTAGTGTTTTGTAATCACATTAAGGGAATATTTTCATTTGGGGGTTCTGCTTTAGTATTGTTTAGAAAGGGCCTCTCTATTCCAAAATGATGAAAAGGGTTGTCTTCTAGGGATTTGTAGTGTAGTACATTGTGTATAACTAATTCATCTGATGTTTACTTTGGGAGCAGGAAGTGAGGTCAGGGAACCAGCTTTGACGGAGTATTCTCTCTGGTATTTCGATGAGACAGCTTAGAAGGAAAGAGAACGTCACTGCGATTGAGTTGATGCCAACTCACGGTGGGCTGATAGGACAGGGTAGAGCTGCCCAGGTGGGTTTATAACTCTTTATGGGAGTCGAAGGCCCCGTCTTTCTCCCTCGGAGCAGCTGGTGGTTTCTAACTGTGGCCTTGTAGTTAACCACCTAACGTGTAGCCACTACGCCACGGAGGCTCCTTTGGTGGTCAGAAAATGGAGGAGAACTTGATTTCCTGATAGAATCTTCGCTTCGGTTATTAAATACTGATTAAGTTAGTGTTCAGTTGAACGGAGCCAAATAGTGACTCTGAAGTTCAGGCCTGTTGTAGTTAGGTACTGTGCAGCCTGTTCCGACTCACAGGGACCCTGTGTACAACGGGATGGAATCCTGCCTGCCCTGGGCCACCCTCAGTTGTCGCTATGTCAACGCATTGCTACCAGGACTAATCTTCTTCTTACCATATAGACTCATGTAGAAGCTGAGTTTTCCAGCACATTTTTAATGCAGTTTTTGTGATAAAAATAGGTGCCTCGGCTGCAGCTTATACTTGAGTATATATGGTATGTTTAAGTTTTTTCTTGGCAACCTAACTATGATATATTAGGGACGAAGAAATTGTGAAGAGACCTTATTATTCAGCAGACACATTATGAAGCCTCAGACGGGGCCAAGGTTAATATTGAACATGAATATAAACTTGGGAGTCAATTAGCTGTAGGACAGACAGCTGCTCAGTCTGTCCTTGGTGGTTAGGAATGCATGCTACGCCAAACCTTCCTCGTTTCGCTGCGTTCCTCACCATTCTCCCTCGGGATCCTTCCCCATGGGATCCTTCCCCCATGGGATCCTTCCCCGTGGGTTCTAGAGAACCTTCTCTCTAGCAAAGCAGCAGCAAAGCAAACCGACTGCTGTTGATTTGAGAGACTCACAGGGGCTCTGGAGGACGGAGGAGATTGACCTTCTACTCTA